TCACACTGGGGAGAAACCCTATGAATGTAAGCAATGTGGTAAAGCATTCACTACACACAGTCACTGTCAAAGACATGAAAGAGGTCACACTGGGGAGAAACCCTATGAATGTAAGCAATGTGGAAAAGCTTTCACTACAGTCAGTTATTGGAAAATACACAAAACAATTCATACTGGAGAGAAGGCCTATGTATGTAAGCAATGTGGGAAAGCATTCAGTACCCACAGGTATTGTAAAATACATGAAAGAATTCATACTGGTGAGAAACCCTATGAATGTAAGCAATGTGGGAAAGCATTCACAACACACAGTCATTGTAAAAGACATGAAAGGAGTCACACCCTGTAGAAACCCTGTGTACATAAGCCATTTGGGAAAGGATTTTCTACTAAGTCCTAATTTTGAAGACATCAAGAACTCACATTGGTATGAGACCCTATGTGTATAAGCCAGTGTTTGAAAGTATTTACTAGTAACTTTTCACTTTGTGGACCTAAAAGAACTCACACCTGGGAGAATCCATATGTATTAAGCAATGTGGAAAAGCATTCAGTACACATAATTACTATCAAATACATAAAGGAAGTCAGACTGGGGAAAATGCCATATAACTAAGACTCTTTTGAATATGCTGTGAAAATTTCTTATATGGTGGAGACCTATAGAAATAATATGAGAAGTTTGATGTCAATTTTTCCTTTGTATATTTTCCAGTAAACACATTCCCAGATGGAGATATCCTAAAAGTATACATATTGTGTAGTGTTTTTCTTGTAAATTTCTGGATTATTTATCTGTAACAGTTACTATAAAAATAAAAATTGAGTTGATGTGAAGAGTCCCAGCAATAACTCCCATATTTACACTACCTTTAAATGGTGTTATCTTAACATGTTACTTGAGAAGTGAACAAGGCCTGCTAGAATAATCCAGAGTCATTATAACTGTATATTGAAGTGGTTATGCATAAGCTATTTGATTCTACTTTTTTAAGGATTAGCCTTGTAAATGACAGTTTTATTCCAATTCTATAATACTTTCACAGATCTTGATAAAGACTAGGTTTTAAGATTTTTATTTTAGTGAGTATGAGACATTTTGCTATTTGTATGTTAAACTTTGGTTGTTTATACTGAAGCCTTTCCATAAAGGTTTTTTTGTTTTTGTTTTTGTTTTTTTTGCATACTGCAGATCGAACTCAGGACATTGCACTTGTAAGGCAGGCGGCAGTACCACTGAGCTAAATCCCCGGCCCTCTTTTGGTTTTTTTAGAGGAGGAAAAGTTTATTGTAGCTCATCTTTGTTTTTATTAAGTCTATAGGAGTTATGTAAGATACATAACTTACTAATTTAAGCCATTGTGATAGCTCTAGAAATCTCTCTCTATTAGGTCACTAAAAGAAGGAAAATTTTTCTTTTACTTTTTTTTTTTTTAACATATGGTTATACAGTGAAACTAAGGGTGTTTTTCATATTGCTTCTCTAAATACCCAGTTTTTCCTATGAGGGAAAGAAGAAACCTTTAAGCAAAGTTGGTTTTTTAAGTTTTAATTATTATTTACTTTTCTACATATGCTAGGGAAACACACTAACATTAACTAAGCCTTTATGCCCCTTTAAGTTTTTTGTTTTTGTTTTTTTTGTTTTGGGTACCAGGAATTGAACTTGGGACCTTGTGCTTGCGAGACAGGTGACAGAACCACTGAGCTAAATCCCCAGCCCTGCCCCTTTAAGTTTTAAAAAGCATTTATGTTAAACAGAAAAGTTAAAAAATTTTTAAATGTAGAGACTATCAAATAAAATGGCATTGCGGTGAGGCCTGAATGTGTGATTTCTAAACTAACTCCCAACAAACTCATGCTTCTGACTTTATTGTTATACAGTGCTGCAGGTGCCCAAACTTTATGTAATTGACAAATTTCACAGATTTTCTACATGAAAAACATAAATATTCCCACCTCTAGACTATAATGCACCTCTCTCTCTCGAAGACTCATGTTCTTTTTCTCTGATTATATACTTTTAAAATTCTGCCTAATCCCATTTTGCCTCTTTAAAAAAAAGTTGTGTTTATTAAAAATTATTGTGGAATGTTAATGTTCCTGGCACAAGTATTCATACATTCCCTTGCTTTGACAAGTTAGCAAATACTGTATTTGCCAGAGCTCTAGAGCACTAAAATTTCTTTTAGGGTCCATTTTTGCATTGTTATTGCCGATGGGCTTCTGAATTTCTGGGGGTTTTTTTAAAAGTTTTTTTGTTTTTTGGTATCAGGGATAGAACAGGCTTCTGAATTTCTGAGTAGAGATGCTGCACTGGGACTTGATGGCTGAGTGGTTGACTAAGGATGCGCACTGGCACATTAATTCACAGATCAGCAAGTTAAAATTTAATATGGATTTACTGAAAGTATTATTAGTGTGCTGTTAATGAAAGATGTAATGAACATAGGAAATAGTCATTAGAGACTTTCTGAAATGAATGTTCTTCAGGAATAGAGGAATAAGTGTTTTCAGGTATCTAATTGAAATTATGGTTTGAAGAACATTTTAGTCCTCAAGAGTTGTCTTTATAATGGAGGTTGCTGCAAAGGAGCCCCATTTCTTAGTTTTTGTTGTTGTTATTGTTGTTGTTGATCCTGAGACAAAATATCCAACACCCACAAGTTAAAGTAGGAAAGGCTTATTTCAGTGCACAATTTGTAGGGGTTTCCAGTCCAAATTTGGTTGGTTCCAAGGCAGGGTGGCACAGCAGAGGGCCATCACAGAGGAGAAACAGTTCATAGCAGGGTAGGCAGGAGACAGCAAGCAGCAGCAGATGAGGCAGGGAAATATCAAAAGCTATGCAGTTGGGCCAGGGATTTAGCTCAGTGGTTCTGCCCCCTGCCTCCTGCCTGCCTTGAAAGAGCAAGGTCCTGAGTTCGATCCCGATACCAAAAAAAAAAAAAGCTGTGCAGCAGCAAGCCTGCCTCTCCTTTTCATCCCATCAGCCTTTTGGCTTACCCAGCTGAGCCTTCCTATTATCCACACCCAGAGGTATGCTAAACCAATCTGACTGATTTAATAAGCACTCCCAGTCTCACACACTTAATCCCAACATCACACCCTTAATCTACATTTACACAATTCTGGATCCAGCCACCTCCAAAAAGGCCCATGTATGAGTGCATTAGGCTTTGGAGGAATATCTAGCTACGCGCTGTAACATTTCACCCCTGGCCCCCAAAGATGCCTGCACATTTCCTTATGCAAAAGGCATTTAGTCCATCTTTTAAGTGTTGTCAAAGTCCTAACATTTTCAGCATTGACCAAAATTCCAAATCTAATGTCTCCTCTGAGACTTAAGGCAAACTCTTAGCTGTGAGCTTCTGTACAAATGAAAAGTTAAACACTTTCAGCATACAGTGGCACAAGATAAACATTCCCATTCCAAATAGGGGAATAGAAAAAAACAGGGCTAAAGTAAGTCCAAAATCTAGCAGGGTAAACATTAAGTCCTGTAGTTCCTTGTCCGTTATCTGAGGCTGTCTGTGGCAAGATGTGAACTCCAAAGGGCTTGAGTCGCTCTGCCCGTATGGCACTTTGGGTAGTTGCAGCTCTCATGGCTTTTTTCATGGGCCTGCTTTGTTCACTTCTTGAAGCTTTCCTCAGGTGATCCAACTTCCTGGCTTCTTTAATTTTCTGTGGTCCCCACTGCAACTTAGGCTTCACACTTATAGATTCACACACTGAACGCTTAGGGGCACATTGCCTGGCCTCACAGGCCTTCTGAAATCTGGGTGGAAGCCTTCCTGATCCCACAACTTTTTTTTTTTTTAGAGTAGGAAAGATTTATTGAGAGAAAGATAGCTTCTGTCTAAGAGACAGAAGGGGGACCAGAAAGTGGGTTGCCCACCCACCCCACTTTTCAAAGATATTTTATACAGCAAAGCCATGTGGTGAGGCAGGTACAAAGTGGGACAAAACTATAAGACCCAATGGAAATTTGCAAGGTGGGCATGAGGTGAGGCAAAACCATGACGAATCAATAAGATTGCAAGTACAGTCACCCAGGTCATACTGATTAAATGGGGGTCAAATGGGGCAGCAAGACACATAGCAAGCATACAAGGATTTTCAGTAAGGGTGGGAGTCGGATATTTCCTGGAGAGGCTGGGTTAAGATCTTGGCCCCCCACCCAGGTGATTGATACTTGTTTAGAATATCAATCACTGCTATTCATCCTACATGGGTGTGGTAGTTTCCTTTTACAATGCTGGCCTTCAGTGAATGTGTCTTCACTGTCCTCCATGTTGGCTTCTGGATGGCTGGCTCCTTAAGGGAGGCCTTGTCTAACTCCCTACAAGATATTTAATTAACTTTCCTATCTACAATATTCCACCCTCTGAAGAAGTACCCCTAACTGCCAGGAGGGGGCAAAGAGTGAAGACTATTCTGGCTACTTCCAGCTGAAAAGGGTCATAGTTGTGATCAGCAGTCAGAGCTACTCTACAGAAGGTCTATCTAAAGGCCGTTCTTAGGCGCCAGGCATTGTCATCTTGGTGGCTGTATAGCTTTGAGTCTGAAGGAGACAAAGCCAAAGAAATAGTAAAGAATACATGAGCCAAACTATAATGTTAGCAGGATTGCTATGAATATAGCCAACAAGGGTTTCCACCAGGAGGAACTAGTAATAGCCTCCCACAAAGAGCATAGTGAGAAGGTTCAGGGACTTCAGAATCCCAACACAGAGGCCATATTATATAGTTTAGCAGTTATAAGCTGTTTACAAGCTTGATCTGGTAGATCCTGGTAAAAGAAGTCTAGCACATTTGTCATTGGTTCCATTTGTATGACTGTTTGGAGTTTGACAGCCTCTAGGCAAGAATAAACAAAACTTAAGAAATTAGAACATGCATAATCTAAGCATGAGCACACTAGAATGAAAGGGCAGGTTGGGGAGAAAGTCACACTTAGAAATTGGAATAGTGATTGTAACCTGCTGACTCTTAGATTCTTTCATTGATAGAGACTGTGTATAAGTCAGATACTTTGTCATAAATAAGAGACAATTTGAAGAACAAATCTCACTTAAGAAATTTGAAACTCTACCCAAGCTCTTATAGATTTTACCATAGTTTTTTCCTAATGATCCCTAACTGTGGTCAGCTACTGATATAGCTAGAAACTGCCAGAAGGGGTCAGTGATTGAAGCCCCTTTTTATATCTAGCCTTATTACTATGGCATTATTTTACACTTCTTTTGGTTATTCTTTTCTGCTGGGTGTTTAAGACAAGTTAAAGTGAGACCTGTGTCAATTAGTATGAACCTCTTGCTATCTGTCAAGGTCAGTTAAGTCTCCTCAGGCATTACTTTGGAACCATGCATAGAGCCTCTCAGCTCCTCTGTCAGTGTCAGCCATCAGGATGGGTCATGGTCTTGCTTGACCATGTTGCTTTCAGTGAAAGCATGGGAGATTTTTCCCTGTCAGTGACCCTCTTTTGGCACATGGTACATTTGTCCTCTGGGGCACAGCAATCTCCCTGCTCAGGAGGTTGAGTGACTTAACCAAAGATGTAGGATCCTGTAGGAAAGGTTTCTTTGTGTCCTGGGTCTTTGTTGACCTTGAAGGGCCAGGGCCAAAATATTGGCTATCCTCATAGCCCAGTTATCTTTCTAGTTTTGGTCTCCAAACTTTAGTTGTTGAACACCAGATCAGTGACATAAGTATTTCAGTAGGAGCAGTGAGCTGAACTGTTATAATTTCATCTGGACATTAAGCACTTTTGAAATATATTTTATCAACCATGGTCATTCTAGTAGTTGAATCCATATCCATCTTAGTATGGAATAGTCT